AGACTCATATTGACTCTGCGAACCAAACCGGTAGCTCTGTATCCATGTGAACAACGAAAGACGATTGTTTTCTCGCACTGCGTGCTAGACTGTCCGCCTGTGAATTCAGTGTTCTTGGTACATAGATGATTGCCGAGCTGTGAAAACTCTCCTTCAGCATCTTGATATCTTCGAGGTAGAATGCAAAAGCTGGCCATTCCTCTGGTTCCGAAACCATCTTCACCAATTGAGACCAATCTGATGCAAACGTGACATGATATTGACGCAAGTTCCTCATACTCTCCATTGCCCAAATAAGCGCTTCGACCTCAGAATGAAGAGGTGAAAGGCTGGCTCTAACATTTCTTGCGCCCATTAAACCGACAAAACCTTCAAGGGTACTATACCATCCATGTCCATCAAAAACATCTTTATCTTTCCATGAACCATCAACAAAACACCATCTCCCTGAAATGGGTGGTATGACCGCAGCAACCCGTAGTTGTGTTTCCCCCTGAGAAACTTTTATTAGGGCCTCCTCCCAAAGCGTGGCTTCAGTTTCCGCCAATGTCAGTGTGTCCCTCGGATCAATATCCAACTTGCTGAAAGTCTTACTATTTCGCCCTTTACATATATACCATAATATCCATGCAAAGTGATGATCGTCCATCTTAGGAGTAACCCGCCAGAATAAATGATCCATATTCGTAAACAAAGACCCTGTAGGAAAAGTTACTGGGTTCAAAGGAATCCTGGACAAAGCCCAGATTTGTCGTGCTGGTGGACATTCGAAAAAATATGATTAACCGATTCTTCTGCAGCGCCACATCTATCACAACATATATCCCCTTTTATCCCTCTTGCCTGTAGGTTTTTCTTAACTGCAATACAACCCGATATCAATTGCCATACAAAATGTTTTATTTTGGGAGGGCACCTTAGTTTCCAACAAAAAGCTTTCAATGCATCTACTGTAGGTCCCTGTAACTCAGACGACCTTCCTCTATCCGGGTAAACCCTCTCAACTTGATATCCTGACTTAACTGTGTATTTTCCGTTCGTAGTAAAATGCCAGCCATCTCGATCATCCATTTGTATCCTACTAAGTGGGATGATTTCTATTATCTTGGCATCCTGAGCGTCCACTAAAGCTCTAATAACCGGCATATTCCAAGTCCGCGTTTCCATATTGATGAGAGCATCCACTGTGAGTCTTGGATTACTGTTTTGTTGATTTTTGTTTGCTGGTCTCGGGCGAGTGGTTGGGAGCCAGGGATCATTCCATACTGAGATAGATGATCCTGATCCCACCCGTTTAATAAGTCCTTTACTAACCAGAGATCTAGCTGAGATCATACTCCTCCAGCCATATGACGGAGAATATGATCGGATCGGTTCTAAAGGTGACGCATTCCTAAAGTACCGACCTTTGAAAACTCGAGAAAACAAAGTATTTGGTTTCTCCATAAGGCGCCATAATTGTTTGCCTAGCATTGCCGTATTAAAATCCTCCAGATCCTTAAAGCCCAATCCACCTGCATCCTTATCTAGACATAATTTATCCCATGATTTCCAATGCATTCCTCTTGTGCTTCCCCCCGGGCTCCACCAGAATTGTGCTACCGCACTCGTTAGTTTCTTTGTGGTGGCCTTAGGTAACCTATAGCAGGACATCACATGATTTGGTAATGCCGTAACCACAGATTTGATAATCACTTCCTTTCCTCCCTTCGTAAAGAACCTAAAACTCCATCCATTGACCCTCTTGTTTAACCTTTCTTGTACAAATCCAAATACTTGTATCTTGGACCCAGCTAGACATTCTGGCAATCCTAAATATGTTCCCATACCTCCTAAATTCTGAATTCCTAGTATATCCCTTAGCTCTTGTCTGATCTCCTCCCCAATTTTATGACCAAACTGAATTGAAGATTTCTGGAAATTTATTAGTTGACCTGAGACAGCCTCATATTTCTTAAGTATGGTGAGAATAGTTTGAAACTCCTCTGGTTTCGCCTTGCAGAAAAACAGACTATCATCCGCAAAAAGAAGATGAGAGATCGCTGGACACGCTCTAGCAACTTTCATCCCTGTTAAGCGCTTTTTTCGCTTTGCTTTTTTTATATTTGTAATTAAAGCCTCCATACACATAATAAAAAGATAAGGAGATAGCGGATCCCCTTGTCTTAATCCTCTCTGTGGGGTAATGGAGCCCTTGGGTTGACCATTTATCAAAACTCGGTACTGGACAGACGATATGCATTCCATCATAAGCTTCGTCCAATGAGGGTCAAACCCCATCTTGTGAAGCAAAGCTTGAATGAAATCTCATTCCACCCGATCATACGCTTTACTCATATCTGTCTTTATCGCCATAAACTTTTCCCGGACAAGCTTTATTAGCTCTTAATCCATGAAACATCTCCTGAGCAATTAAGATATTATCTGATATTAGCCTTCCTGGGACAAAGGCCGATTGGGTTTCGGAGATTAGCCTGGGCAAACAACTCTTCAACCGTTGACATAGAACTTTTGAGATAATCTTATATCCGACATTACAAAGACTTATCGGTCTAAGCTCTGTCATCCTAGTGGGTCTCTCCGTCTTTGGAATCATACAAATATGAGTAATGTTTATGCGAGCATCCAGAACTCCTGAGACCAAAAAATTATTGACCATATCTACCAAATCCTTTTTAATAACATACCAGGAGTGCTGGAAAAAAAGAGCTGTCATTCCATCAGGTCCTGGTGCTTTTTCAGGATGCATCATAAATAAGGCTTGTCTTACTTCCTCCTCTGTGGCCATCCTCAACAACCTTTGATTCATCTGAGGTGTGATATTTGAGGGAACTTCTTCCAAAAAACTATCAAACTCTGATGGGGAAGTAGATGTAAACAACTCCTGAAAATAATCCACAGCTACTTGTTCCACACCCGTTTTTTCTGTTATCCAATTTCCAGCCGCATCATGTAGCCCCACTATTTTAGTGCACCCCCGTCTTTGTTTTGTTAAAGCATGATAAAACTTGGTATTAAGATCTCCCGAAGAATAACACATATTACGGCTCTTCTGATACCAGTAATCCTCTTCATCCTTGTATGCATCCTGTAATTTCCTAGACACTTCCAAAACATCCTCCTGTGTCCTACTGTTATCCATCTGGACCTCTTCAAGAGCCCTTTGGAGGTCTTGAATTTTCTCTTTCCCGTATGGTGGATTATTTTTCCTCCACCTTGCTATCTCATGCCTACAGTTGCCAATTCTTGTAACCAAATCCTCCATCTGGCCATTATTTACTTCAGTCCAACCAGTAATAATTGCTTCCATAAAACCTTCCCGCCCAATCCATCGCTTATCAAATCTAAATTGGCCCCTCCTTTTATAAACTCTATCCTCCATAGTAGCAACTATAGGGCGATGATCCGAGCCAACCATCCCCAAGTATTCGGTAGAGGAACAGGGGAATAACGTATGCCATTCTTCATTTGCTAGTGCTCGGTCGAGACGACATCTTATCATCACCGCACCTTTCCCTTTCCCTCTGCGTCCTTGCCATGACATTTTATTTCCCCTAGCCAGGAACTCAATTAACCCGCTATTTCGAATCATATTATTAAAAGGAACAAAAGACGCCAAAATTCTTACTGCACCCCCTTCCTTCTCATGATTTCCAGTAATCTCATTCAAATCCCCAATAATAAACCATGGTTCAGATCGTGCAAGACCATACCAAGTCAATCTTTCCCACACTTGTTCTCGTAAATCTTGAACTGGATCTCCGTACACAAAAGTTAGAAACACCTTTTTGCCAATCGATATTGCTTCCACATCAATCATCCGATTGCTGGAGTATAACACCAGTACTTGATACTCATTGTTGTAAAAAAGAGCGAGACCTCCACTTCTGCCAACTGGATCCACTGTGACTAGATTATCATATCCAAAATGTGCTTGAAACCCTTGTACAAAATTATAATCCTGTTTTGTTTCCGATAAGAAAAGAAAGTCTGGCTTATGTTTATGCCATATTTCTCGTAGATAGCTAATTGTCCATTTACTTCTCATTCCTCTACAGTTCCAACTCAACACTCTCATATAAAAATTAATATGTAGTTTACTCCGAGGAGTTGCACCTTCGGGTATAATGACACCCTTTGAAAAAACTAAATCGTGAAGAAAACTACACTGAAAGTATATGAAGCATAACTCCCCATTACTATGATCAGAAGAAGTCCATAAACGCCATATTGTACACTTTCCATTCCGCCACTTGGGACCCTACACTCGTTTTCCACTTTGCCACTTTTATTGTAAGGGTTTAAGGAGACCCGTGTCTGATACCATATAAAATGACACCAGTCATGTATTTCATCACTCTCCATGAATAATTTTGTCAACCAACCAAAACGATGACCAGAAAGATTATACCATTGAGTCCTTAAAAAACAATAAAAAACAAAGATAAGGCAATTCTGAGTATTTTGCTTACCTGCACCACCAATTTGCTTAACCCAGTACGACATAGAAACCTGAGTAGCCTTAGTTATGAGTACAAGGTGAACCAAATAGACGAAGTTCCAACTAAACAAAAATTTTTTTATCTCCTGACAGGCCAAAATATCATGACTATCCCATATGTATGAGCTTCCAGAGAGATCAAATTTGGAAGCAATATAACTCAAACAGACATTCGAAACACAGTGCAAACCATAAATTTTCCTTGTCCGATAACTTAGGTAGTGAACCTTATTTGCTATGTTCCATAGAAACCATCTATTCCTCTGGCAAAAACAAGTAAATAAAAGCCACCAAACCCATAAAACCGAAACAATCCATAGATTCCATTCAAAGATCTTATAGTATGATCTTAAACCAAACAAGCAAAATTCATAACGAAAACTAGCATAACCAAATAGATAACTGCAACAACAACTGCTCACGGAGCTTATTGAAATGAAAAAAACTAAACCAGAACACCAAACCTCAAAGACTTCAATGGTGTGACTCATCAAAAAAATCAAGGCTTAGGAATAGAAGTGTTAGGGATTGAAGTTCCCTTGTTCTCCTCTTGCTTGCCCCCATCCCCTGGACGAGGTGCATGCTTAGAACCTGCTTTCTTCCTCGGAGATAGAATAGCCTTCACCATTCTCTGCTTCGATGTAGCTCCTCGCAAGCTCACTGCAGTTTTAAACAGGCGCTTACGAGCTACCTGTTTCTTAGCGGCTTCGTCCTTACTCTCCTTGTCCTGCTCAACATCTGCAAGCTGCACATTTTCCTCTGAACCTGGATGTTTAAAATCCTTCACAGCATCAGCTTCCATACCCTCATCCTCATCGACATGGTTATCATCACCCAACTCGCTGAATCCCTGTTCCACAGCTGCCAGATCCTCGTTCTGCCCAAGCTCTTTCATTAACTTCAAATCATCTTCAGTACACACTTCTCCCTCAGCCAACTCTACTTCCATTTCTACAACATCAAAAACCTCCTCTTCCAGCATCTCATTGATGAGGTCAAGCCCGTCTTCAAGCAAAACTGGGTCCGCTTCAAGTGTCTCCTTCCCTTCCACCCCAACCTTGAACTGCAGGATCTCACTGTGTATCCCAGTTTCAGACCGATCATTACCAGATCCCTGCCCGCTGTGATCCCCTTTTTCCATGTAAGGGACCTGATCTTGATTCCCTGAGTGGGAGAAGTACATGTCATTCCTCCCCAGACGATCCTCCCTGTCATTCCCAGCTCGTACTGAACGAGACATACTATGTCTGGAGCGTCGATTCTCAAAACTGTCTTTGGCTCGTCTGTCTCCATAACCCCTGGACCCTCTATCCTCCACTCGACTCCATTTGGATTCTCTTTCTTCATACATCTTCTCTTTGCCCTTCCCTTGATAGTGTCTTTTGCCATTGCCTTGCTCTCTATTCCCCATGTTCCCATTGATCACTATCCCTTTGTAACTGGAGCTCCTCGCATCATGCTTCCCATCTGAGTGGATCGCCATGTTTCTGTCATCCGGAGAGAGCTCATTTGTTGCAGGACAAGAATGGGAATCATGGCAAAGACTCAGACATGTATCACAATACCCAAACAGCCTCTCGTATCTCAATGGGACCAGAACCTCCTCTCCTCCATTGAAGTCCAAGGATGTCTCAAAACATAGACTTTTGAAACCATCAACTTCCACCAAAATCCTTCTGTTGGCAAGATCCACCTCCTTCACTGCCCCAATAGCCCTCCCTATGCATTCAAAAGTAGGAACAGCCCAATATTGTAGTGGCACGTCTAGAGCTCGGACCCAAAAGGTGATGGCTGACGGATACTTCCTGTCGAGAACCAGTTCCCACCTCACCAGCGAGATCATCCAGTAATCAAAGTGATAAGGCTGGAATTTCAGTACCTCTACAATGTCTTCTTCTTCCTGAAAATTAAACTGGAAGCGACCAAGACCCAAGTCGATACCTACTACCCGATCTTCCACTTTCCAAATCTTCGGCATGAGGATGATGAGGGCCTTGACATCTTGTTTGTTTGGATTCATGCATCTGCCAATTAATGTTTTGGCATAGCGTTCAATCAAACTTGAGTTATCAAACTTTGGGACCGTGATCTTCAATGTTTTGCGCAATTCCACCTTCTTCCCAACACCCGAGCTTCCCACCAAGTTACCTTGCGACATCTTCTCGCGAACAGAAACCGAAACTGAAAATATTAAAGACTTAGTATTGGAGTAGTAATGGTGATACCTTGGACACCATCACCATCCCTCATTATATACTTGGGCTTTAGGAGACTCGTATCACTCTTCCAAGATCCTACTTTAAAGTTCCAGATCGCGGAAATCAGTGAACATTCCAGAGAGATTCCATGAGTCTTGATTAAGCACGCCAATATTTTATCACCATAACTCCTCTTCATTCCTTCAGAATCAAGCCAAATCCAAAATTCGAAAAAGTTAATATTGGTTGCCTTTTTTCCATCACTAAAATCTCCAATAAAACAGATTTCTGAATCCTTCCCCTCTGAGTTTTCCAAGTTCAGAAATCTGATAATAAAACCTTTGATTTCTGAATATTCTTCCTCTATTTCCCATCGGATCTCTGTAGATCCCCCATACCCTTTCCCTTTAAACCACAGATGTGCAGACGATCGATTCAAACTCCACCAAATCCCCATGATTGATATTGAGATCCTCCATTTATGAACCCCCACACATTTCCTTCCATACTCCTTCAAAATCCCTTTGCCTGAGTCGGAAAACACCATCTAGAAAACTAGGTCTTCAGTCGCCGTCGCCATCGCCATGTTTTTTATTAAACTACGACTTACTACTCTCTCAGGAGTGGGAAAAACAATATTTGACTAAGCATCATTTGTCTAGCTTCCCTAAGCATATGTTCCAGTCAGAAAATAGATTAGTTCCAATCTTGAAAAAAGAGTTCAATTTACCATCAGCTTATAGAGAGTCAACGATTCACACCTTTTAGTATCATCTGGTGCTCTCCGTTGCTTCGGATTCTTTTGATTGAGATACTCCCCATGCTAATCAGGTTGCTTCACAATCAGCTAAAAATGCAACTTTTTCCTCTGTAAAAAAAAACTGGCAGAAGTGATGGTAATAATAGTTACAGTGCGGTGTCGAGAAGTAAACTCTTGCAATCACGTATGTCTAATAGCTTCTAGTTCATGATCAGCCTACACAGAAAAAGTAAAAGGGCAGATCAATAAAATATAAATTTTGCAAAAAGCTAAACTTTCAAATAAAAATTATTTTTTGCTTTAACTTTTTTTTTAGCTAAATTTTTTGATGGTGTTGCGATTTGATCTTTGTATCTTGATTGAGTTTGATGTAATTTATAAGCAAAGAAAAGACAATACGATTTGTTTGCCCAGTTCACGGATCCTTCCGCTACGTCTAGGGGGAGGCTCGTGCTCCCAATTCACTATCAATCTCTGGGTATCAACCTCCAGAGGAAGTATACAACTTCTAATCTCTCTCGATCTTTTACAGGTATACACGATAAGAGAGATTACAATACAAAGCAATTAGAGATCAAGAACTTCTCCGGCATACTCCGACTCCACACGACGAGGTACAAAGCTTCTTCTCCGATGATCTCTCTTCTTTGCTTCCGATGCTCTGTGATGATAGCTGTAACAGACCTAACTACCTTCTTCTTCTGTTTTCTACTTATGTACCAGAAGAAGCCGACTCTGGCCCAACAAGATAAGGCAAAGCCCAGTAGCATTAACACTTTCCGAGTTATAAGCTCGTACTAATAGTGACCGGCCCATTTGAGTAAATGGTCCAAGAGAGTGAAGACATAGGCCCAAATAACATTCTCCACCTTGGCTTTACTCTATCTTCTCATTCGGACAAAACATCCGAAACCCTAACACTGTCGTATCCTCTCGACCCTTCTCCGTCTCTGCCTTAGAAAATCCTTCGACTTTCCTTTCCCGATGAACTTTCACCAACGGAACTCCACCTCAAAGTCAAGACCTTAGATCTCCCCACTTCTCTGCCTCTCAGAAGACTTCTGACTAACCCTGACTCAAGCTCAACCTCTGATCCTGAATCTGGCCATCCAGAACTCATGAAGATGAAGATGATGAAACTTATACCTGATTCTGACCATCCAAAACCCAGAAGACCACATGCAATCCACAAGCGAAACCTCTCCAAAACTAGATCGACTCCTCAGGTAACTCACTCCTTTACACGACCTTTCAGATCTTTAGTACACCAGTAACACGCATGATGAAAAGACCTTTTTTCCTCTTATATCTTTGGAAAAACTAACCCTCTGTTTTCTCTGTTTGCGAGGTGAGGAAATCACAACCACCTCCTCCTTGCCGTAGGATGAGCCGCTTCCACCTCTACAGCCGTAAGCCGTGCGGCTTACTCCAAAACCCTTACGGAGACAAGACCCTTCTCCAGAGTCTTTCCAGGTACACTCTTCGTCAAAATATCTGCTAGATTTAGGCTTGTGTGAATCTTGACAACTGTTGCATCACCTGCTGCCACCACGTCTCTGATGAAATTGAACTTATTGTGAATATGTTTCGTCCTTTCGTGATAACCACCATTCTTGACTAAGAAAATTGCAGACTGTGAATCACAATAAATCTTAACTGCTTGTTGATCATATCCCAAATCTTCACACATCCATTTTAGCCACAACGCTTCTTTTGCTCCTTCTGTTAGTGCCATATATTCTGACTTTGTAGTAAATAGAGACACTATAGGCTGAAGCCCTGACCTCCAACTAACTGTGTTGCCACCAACTTGAAAAATATACCCAGTTACTGACCTGTTCCTGTCAAGGTCTGTAGCATAATCTCCATCGCAGTAACCTTCCACCTTAAAACCTGAATTCTTTGTGAAGTTTAAACTGTAGTTGTAGGTCCCCTTAATGTACCTTAAAATCCATTTCACTGCCTCCCAGTGTTCTCTACCTGAATTTCCCATAAATCTACTGACCACTCTTACCGTGTGTGCAATGTCTGGTCGAGATCCAACCATTGCGTACATAAGACTCCCAACAACACTCGCATATGGTATATCCCTCATAAACTCAGCCTCAACCTTAGTTTCCTTTTCGTCCAAGCTTTTAAGTTTGAAGTGAGACCCTAATGGGGTTGTAACGGACTTACAGTTAGTCATGTTAAAGGTTGAGAGAACTTGCTTCAAGTACTTTCCCTGAGACAACTTTAGCGTTTCTTTTACTCTATCTCTGGTGATGTCCATTCCCAAAATTCTCAAAGCATTTCCCAATTCTTTCGTTTCGAATTCTTGATTCAAACTCTTCTTCAAACTCTCAATAACACTTGAATCCTTAGAAGCCACCAGCATATCATCAACGTAGATAAGTAGATAAACCTTCTCTGAACTGTTTGTCCCTCTAATGTAGACGCAAGGATCTCTGTGACTCTTGTCTGAACTTCTGATTTTTCATGAACTCATCGAACCTTTTATTACATTGCCTCAGAGACTGCTTAAGACCGTATAGAGATTTCTTTAGAAGACCAACCATATCTTCCTTACCTTTAACCTTAAACCTCTCAGGTTGCTCCATATAGATCTCCTCATCTAGAGTGCCATGTAGAAAAGCGGTCTTAACATCCAACTGTTCCAACTCTAGGTTCTCATTAACCACTAATGATAGGATGATCCTTATTGAAACGTGTTTTACCACGGGTGCAAAAACCTCATTGTAGTCAATGTCTTCAACCTGAGAGTAACCTTTAGCAACCAATCTGCTTTGGAGGGTTCTACGGGAAGAGGGTTCTACGGGAAGAGGGTTCTACGGTTGTTGAGTTAATACCTAGGATCTTCAACACCGGGAATCTCTGGTTTCCTTTTGTAGATCCATCTACAACCAATAACCCGTTTCTTCTCTGGCCTTTTAACAATATCCCATTTCCCATTCTTTTCTAGAGAGACCATTTCTTCTTTACTGGCTGCATTCCACTTGTCTCTGTCTCGAGTTGTCATTGCTTCAGTGTATGACCGTGGTTCATCTATCTCGATGTCTTGTGCTTCTGCTAAAGCGTAAGCCACAACATCGAAATCATCATACCCAGATGGCATCTTGGTTTCTCTCCGTATTCTGTCACTTGCTAAGATATAATCTCCGAGATCTTGCTCTTCTTGTGTTTAGCTTTCTGACTCAACAACCGTAGAACCCTCTTCCACAAGTGAATCTGAATTATCCCCACCTGAACATGTAGACTCTGTAGCAGTGCCTGACGTAGACGCCTCTGAGTCATGTAAACCACCTGTAGGACCCTTAACCAGAACTGTACTGAAAGAAACTCTTTTTCCCTTTCTCTTCTCAGCTTTATCTGTCTGAACTAGATCTGAACTCT